TCAGAGCTATCTTCTGACCGCAGGGGATGAGTTTGGATCGGGTTTCTTTAGGCATCAAGTGTCAGAACGATGATAGGGAGCCTGGGAGCCTCCTGAGATAAAAACAAAATCTGTGCATTCCACTTATACTAGAATATAAGCATGGTGCAGATAAGGTGCATTCCTCAAATAGTCCTGGGAGAAAAAAAGGAAAAAAGGAAAAAAAACAGAGGCAAAGGCAGGTGGTTCGTTAGTTTTTTAGTTCATTAGTTCATTAGAATTGCAGTAGAGACCAGAGCAGGGTGCAGAGGCTGGACCCTCGCTGCATTTTCCCCATTGCCAAAGGGCAGAGGGGACCCTGCTGCCGCAGGGCTGTAGTTATAGCGTGGTTAGTTCTGGTCTTTGCCACTTCTTTGCTTAAATAAAGACCAGTTCCACGTGGCTCAGTATCTAGCATTTGGATGGGCACTTGCAAAGCCCTAGAATTGCTCCTGTAGTGTGAGATGCATCCAGTGGCCAAGGCAGTACGTTGCCTTTGACTGCAGGTAGACATTTGAGCCAAGGTTGTCCTACTTTGGGGGCAGAACTAACCCTTAACAGAGACATGAAAATGTAAAAACACTTCATCTGTTCCTCTGAGCCACGGCCTTTTAGTGGACATGTAGAAAATAAGAGCAGACATAAATGATTAATGCAGACTCTTGGAAGAAAATATTGCAGGGTGCCTTGCTGTTTGATTACAAGCCTTGGAATTAGTCAACATTTCCATAATTCTAAACCAATATACACCTGTTTTCCCACTGTGATGTGAAGGCACAACTTAATTTAACAGAAACCCCGCTGTGCTAAATCTCTCATTAAATACCAAGCCAGTTCTGTAATTTAAAGTTGCAGCACCACTATTTTAACCGAATTGCCTTTGTATTATGAAATTAATAAGAAGTTAATGATGCACTTTACAGTATTCCCTCAGATTTTTTTTCACAGCGACAACAACAAAAAAGAAAGATAAAGAAGAGAAATATGTCACCAGCTGACATCTCAAGGCTTTTTTGATTTTAATCGTTTTTTCCTGAGGATAAAATTCATTTAAAAGAGGTTTTTGTGCTTTTTTTTTTAATTTTTAAAAAATTTCCACCTAAGTAAGATCAAACATCTTTTTTCTACTCCTGATTAGTATCTCTCTGTTTGTCCTAAAGTTCCTTGTCATATAATGGAGCTTTTATGTACCCCCAAAAATGTATTTAGATATCACTGTTACAGTAATATTTCTGCGAGGTGGAGAGGAGGAAACATAGCGTTTGAGAAATGCAGGCTGATACATGATGTGCATCAACAAAAAGGAACAGCTCCCTTTCAGTACCGGTGTCTGGAGCAGCCGTTACACCTTGTAAATGAACAGCCTGAATTCGTGGATGTTATTTCAAATATGATATTCAAGTGGCTCTAGCTCATAGAGGTGCGGTTTGTAATATTCCTATTTGCAGTAATTTTTTGCTGGCCTGGAAGTTGTTCTGGATCTTATTTTTAAAAGCAGAGGGGAGAGAGGAAAAATCTTGGCTTGAACTTAATGGTGATCATAGGAATGTGTTTCCCTGGGACAAGGTGTAGAGCTGAATCCTTAGCCACCCCCATCTCCATCAAGAATCTCATGGCTTTGTTGGAAGTGTTTAACTTCCAGTCCCTAAACAAAATAATTCCTCCCATCTCAATTTATTCTGTACCTGTAGTTATATAGAGTTATATGTTTAGTTTCTTCTGTGTCCCCAGTTTTGAAATGTAGCAAGAATTGCCTTTTAGATAGGGGCTAAACCTTGAAGATTTGTGTGCAGGGACTACTTTCAGCACTTCCCTGGCACTGACAGACATTTTTTGTTTGTTTTACCTTTAATATTTATGTAATCTGGGCTGCTTTGCTAATGTAAAAAAAAATAAAAAGGCAAGTTTGCTAAAATTAATTGGCGAAAGTTATCCTTATATAGCTATCTCAAGGACTATTTGTCAGTCCATTCTTGAAGCTCAGTATCTGAATAAATTCTCCTTTAATTTCATGCAGAAGCAGTCTGAAAGGAATTTGTTGGAATCCATTTGCAAAACCTAGACCTGAATTTCTGTAGATTCTTTATTTTGTATTTGAATTTAAATTCATTTGATCATTCTTGCCATATATGTATTTTTGCACATATCCTCATAGCTAAGGTTACCACAAAAATAATTGATATTCAGCCCTGATTTAAGTCCCATCACTGCTGTGCATTTAACTAATACCAGTTAACACTAGTCCTAGTGTTTTACCTGGTTCTTATTTCAGGTATGATAGACATATTCCAAGCAGCAGCGAGTCCTTTGTACTGAAGTCCTTGTGTGGGATTACGACATTCACTTTATGAACCAACTTAATTACGTGTGTGTCAATGGAGAAATACAGTTTGGAGAAAGTGCTTAAAATTTTAACAGCATGGAGGAGTTTGCGGATTCTTAAAAGTCTTGTAAAATATTAATGACCCCCTCTTTGCCAGATGTTGTTAAGGAGAAAATTTTCAATTTCTACATTGTAAGAATCACTGCAGGTTTTATTAAATGCCATTTACGTGATAGGGAAACATTAGAGGGATTTTTTTCCTTACAGATGCTATGCTAGCTGGTAAAAACTTCAGGTCCCATTTGGGCGGTAGATTATGCAAAACCGTTTTAAAAGAGGAAGACAGATTAGTGTTCTGCTTTGGTGCCCTTTTAGAAGATGGTTTGTTGTGCCCTCCACCAGGCTGCGGAGATAAATCCTTCTGTTGAATTTGGACTGGGAATTTGAGATGAGACCAAAGCCTCCTAGGTTTAGAAAAGATCAACCATAAAGATTTTGTTTGGCTCTATCTCCACTTCCTGATAAAGTCCTGTTTATTCAAAAAGATGCAAACGCCAAATATATTTCTGCTCTCCACCTTCCATCATGCTCCTTTCTAATGAACATCTTTGCACACTCCTTTTTGGAATAGCATTTTAATATCCATGTGTTGCTCTGCTTTGTGTCTTATGCGTTGTCAGTACTGTGTGGACATTAGGTAAAAATTACCTGTAATAAAAAGGTTATCATCCAATATGACTTCAATAACAGCCTGAAAATGGAATATCAGTGAGTTTGAAAGATTTTGACAAACTGAAAGGGAATTCAAACAGCAATTAAATTAGTTAAGGGATTGGACTGATTGATTTATGATGACAAATGAAACTAATTCAGTACCCATATAGCATGGCCAAGTAAATGAAGGATCAGAAAAGTCTAGACCTACTTAAAGGATAAAAATAACCAGCTGGGAAAGTGGAGAATTCCCAGTCAGTGCCTATTCCTAGCAACAGGGGCTACACGACATTGAATTAAGCTGAGAAAGTGAATCTGGCCCATTACTTGTTTTAAGATATTCTTCAAATGCAGCCACTTAGTGATAATTTTGTTCAGCTCAGAAGCTCATTTTTATTACATAAATACACCAGTCCCACCTCTGCCTTTCCACCTGAACTTGCAGTTTATCGGCAGAAGAGTATCAGTTGTGCAGGCATAGGGAGAAGGGGCATATTGCCTTAGTGAAAAGGCAAGTTGAGCTAAGTTGAGCAAAACATTTCATCCATAATTAAATGTTCCTTTTAATTAATGAAGGTTAGGGATCAGATTCACCTTCTGTTACTGTACAATCACAGAATTGCAATGTTTCTGCTGTTGGAAGGGAGCTCAGGAGATCCTGCAACCCGCTGGCTCAAGCAGGGTCTCTTAGAGCAGATTTCCCCAGACCACATCCTGCTGGGAATTGAATATCTGCAAGGATGGAGGCTCCACAATCTCTCTTTACTCCCACAGTAAAGAAGTTTTTCTTCATGTTCAGGTGGACCTTCTCGTGTTTCAGTTGTGCCCATTGCCCCTTTTCCTATTGCTGGAAAGAGTTTGGCCCCTTTCTCTCTCTACACTATCCCTTCAGATAATTACGTGTATTGATAAGATCTCCCTCAGACTTCTCCAGGCTGAACAGTCCCAGCTCTCTCAGCCTTTCCTCGTATGAGAGATGCTCCAGTCCCTTCATCATGTTACTAGCCCT